CAAAGGGACCTCACTTTCACCATTACTGGGACGTATTACAGAGTGATACAAAGGGACCTCACTTTCACCATTATTGGAACCTATTACAGAGTGATACAAAGGGACCTCACTTTCACCATTACTGGGACGTATATTACAGAGTGATACAAAGGGACCTCACTTTCACCATTACTGGGATGTATTACAGAGTGATACAAAGGAATTCTCACCTTCATATTTACTTGATTTATGCATCACTTAGAAAAAAAATTCTCACCTTCGTTGTTACTGGCTAACTGGGGATCCTGTATGGATGAACAAACGAAAGCTGATTATACACATGTAGGTCATGTTTACTAAAAACAGCCTTTCACCTTTCATTTACAATGTACTTATCAAAATGTTATTGCAGCACAATCATATTGTTTTATGCTTATTTTATTTATTTCTTGAAAATGATAATAAAGGGTATCTAAAGATTGTAATATTTATGTGTGCATGCGAAAATAGTTGTCACAAATAGATTCAGTTAGGATAATGTCAAATGTTAAAGTCTTGAGAGAATTTTTTTAGAAAATGAACAATAGAGATACGGCGCAGGATTTCCAAATACAAAAAAGAAATTGTTTTGATTTTATTTTTTCCCCTGTTAGACATTGATTACCATCTAATATATAAATACAGCCATGGTAAGGCCTGGTCACATTTATGACCACAAAAAAAATAGGCAATTCTAAATTTGCTTTTCTCACTTTTTTTCATTCAAGATGTTTTATTTCAATAATTTGCAAATTTTTATATACTTAGCATCTTATAACCAGGATACATTGTTTTACATATCACTACATCATTCTTCATCTTATAACCAGCATACATTGTTTAACATATAGCTACAACATTCTTCATCAAGTGAGTTGACACAGACAATCATCATTTGTTAAGTGAGTTGAATCAGACAATCATCATCCCTTAAGTGAGCTGAATCAGACAATCCTCATCCCTTAAGTGAGTTGACACAGACAATCCTCATCCCTCAAGTGAGTTGAATCAGACAATCCTCATCACTTAAGCAAGTTGAATCAGACAACACACACCACTTAAGTGAGTTAAATAAGACAATCCTCAACCTTTAAGCAAGTTGAATCAGACGATCCTCATTTGTTAAGTGAGTTGAATCAGACAATCCTCATCCCTTAAGTGAGTTGAATCAGACAATCCTCACCCCTTAAGTGAGTTGAAACACCTAAAGCGAGTTAAATCAGACAATCCTCACTCCTAAATTAAGTTGAATCAGACAATCCTCACCCCTTAAGTAAGTTGAATAACAAATTCCTCATCCTTTTAGTATGCTGAATCAGACACTTTTCACCCCTCTGGTTTATGGAATAAAAAATTCCTTACCCCTCTAGTATGTTGAATCAGAAATTCCTTACTATTCTTGTATTTTGAATAATAAATTACTTACCCCCTTTGAATGTTGAATTAGAAATTCCTTACTACTCTAGTATCTTGAATCAGAAGTTCATTACCCTACTTGTATGGTGAATCATAAATTCCTTTACCTTCTAGTGTGCTGATAAAGAAATTCCTTACTACCGAGTTATTTCTATACAGTTTCTTCAAGTTGGTACTGGTAAGTATAGATTGTAAAAAGGTTCATATAGTACAACCAAAAAGTGTTTATATGTGATGTTTCGATGACTAGTACAGTATGTGTCTGTCACTTTCATTAGACAAATGTCCAGTGAAGTGTATGAACACAAAGGTGCAAAATATGTACTAATTGTCCAAAAATCAATGTTGATTTGGCTACGCTTTTATTGAACATGCGATTTGACCACCCATATCAACAACATAGATGCCTCTAACAACATCAAATTTACATGTGAGGATGAAACCAACGGCACAATGCTCTTCCTAGACACTCTTCTGGTAAAGAAAGAAGACCGAACTGTGAAGGTATTGGTCTATAGAAAAAAGACCCATACGGACCAATACCTGAACTTCAAATCTCACCATCCTTTGCACCAGAAGTTAGGCATTGTACACACATTACTCAATAGATGTGATACAATAGTCACAGAACAACAGGACAAAATATGAGAGAAGAATCACATCTCTAGGGCAATGGATACCTGTGCACATCCGGAATGGGCCCTAAAACGTGTACAAAAGCCAATCAAGGATAAGAACAAAACCAAAGGTCAGGTGGTCATTCCGTATATAAAGGGTCCAAAACCATCCAGAGATTATATCACGGTCATAGAAAGCAACAGCCATGAAGCCCCACAAGATGCTTCGTAATATCCTAGTACACCCTAAGGATAAAAGCAGAATGCGTTATATTATACAAAATAGGATGCACAAACTGTGACGCATCGTGTACTGGAGAGACTGAAGGCGATTTGGGGTCTGCCTTGGTGAACACCGGAAAGACACAGAAACCCAAGAGGGAAAGAAATTCACCCGATTAGAAAGGAAGCAGTCAGAGTCCCAGATAAATAAATTGGCCATCACAGACCATGCCACACAGAAAAATCATGTGATTGACTGGGATAAATATAAATTTGTAAATATTTTACACCTTTGTGTACATACGTTTCACTGGTCATTTGTCTGATGAATATGACAGAGCACACACTGACTAGTCATCAAAACGTCACATATAAACACTTTTTGGTTGTGCTACATGAATCTTTTCACTACCCTATTATGTTGAATAAGACATTGCTTATCCCTCTAGTATGTTGAATAAGGCTGTTTCCCTCTACTAAAATCTGGTAAAACTCACCCATCAATAATACAGGTCTTTTTTTTTTTTTAAATATCCCAGAAATGTTTTAATTAGCCATTATAGAGTGAGGAAAACATCTATTTGGTGAAAAAAATCATTTTGTGAGTAGATACCACGATGATCTCCAGACAAAGATGTGTGTATATATATCTGACCTGCTGGTCTTTAACTCCTGGTCCTGGGTTTGGTTCCACTCCTTGTGCCAGGAGCAGTAGGTCAATAAATGGGACGGTTCCCTTACACTGCCAACTTCTTACTAGCCCATGTCTCACACTGGCTATGGCTTTCAGTAGGTATTCTATATTGGAGAGTCCTTGTCCTGTCTTTCTTTGTACAAAGTTTCCAATACGAGCCCTGTACAAGGCCAAGTCTACTCCCATTGTCATTGGTACATAACCTGTATAACAGAAGATCCTGATGTGTCAAACTTGACAAAATGCAAGTAATTTAAAAAAAGAAGAAGAGTTAATTGACGAAAGAAGATGTTACATTATGCACTAATGTTTTCACTGTATTAGTTCTTCAGGTGCAATAACAGGTATATATATATATATGCAGGATTTCATGATATTTTCTATTTGACTTACTTTTCACATTAATTTCATGAATCAAATGTAGAGGTTCTCATGAAAACTTTTTGACAGGTTTAATATAAATCTTTTGCAAGAAGAACATATTCATGAACATGTTTTTCTTACGAAGACTTTGACTATCACCTGACACTATTTCTTCGTCTGACATGATCATCAAGTTATGACTCCATGTCTTTGGCAAGCCGTTTAGGTTTTTACCCATTTAAGACTGAGATATCTGCATTTAAATTAGAGATATCTGTACATAAAGATATAGATCTGCATTTTAAATACATTTATCTGTATTTATAATTACAAGTATCTGTATTAAAGATATCTGTATTTGCAAATATAGATATCTGTATTTATTTGCAAATATCGATATCTGTATGTTAATCACATATATCTCTATTTTAATACAGATATCTTGATTTATGTAAAAGTATAGATCTCTATTTATTTATCAACTGTAAAAATGACTGCTTCTGTAGTGTAATTTTGTGCATGACAGGAAACAGGAAAGAGATAATGTTCATCAGGCTAGAAAATGGTGACAAGTAGTCCTAGGGCTATAGTCATAGCAACGCCGACCGGGTGCTGTAAAGTATTGCTGGTACAGCGATCGAAACATCAAGGCAGGCCAGGGGAGAACTGAACCCAGATGATGTTTTTGCCTTCACAAGACACACGTTTGAACAACCGCTGCCATTCCTGTTGAAATCCCGATTCGTTTCTCAAGGATTTAGTAAACCTTGATGTGACTTTGAGGGAGACATCATTATTTTCACATTTCTTTAATTAAAATACAGATATCCGATATTTCGATTTTTAATAGAGATATCTTAATTTTAAATAGAGATATCTGTATTTAAAAAACAGATATCTGTATTCCTATACATAATGCTTATCATTAAAAAATATAGTTTGTGGAAATATACACAAAAACATACAATTTCCATAATTTTAATCAATCGATATAGTAAATTCACATTTAATAATAGTCTTTCCTAAAACAGTTAATATTATTGAATCATAGTGTTTTTTTGCTTATCTGCTTGCTAGTACTGAGGGGGACTAGCGATCCGGTAGGATTTGGTTTGGTTAGCAATGTTTAACGTCCTATCAACAGCTATGGTCATTTAAGGACGGCCTCCCCTGTGTGCAAGTTCGTGTTTGTCTACTTGTGATAGCGCGGAACTGATGCCAACTTTATAGTGCTACCTCACTACTACCTCACTGAAACGTACTGCCAAAGACACCCAGCAGGACACCCCACCCGGTCACATAATACTGACAATAGGTGAACCAGTCGTCTCACTCCTAAACTCCTGAGCGTTAAGCAGGAGTAGAAACTACCATTTTTACAGACTCTGGTATGCCTTAGCCAGGGGACAGAACCCAAAGCCTTCCTCACAGGGGCGAACGCTCAACTAAAGGCCAAAAGTGAGGCATTGTCAAGGGAGACATTAGGATGAAAAAAGTTGTTTAGAAAGAAGAGAAAAGATAAGATCCCAAATTTTGTCGCCTCTTATGCTCATGTAATGGGGGCAGCAGGTACAATTCTTACGCCCTACCTGCAGGGACCGATCCGGTTATTTTAATGAGGAAACTTTATAGCACTCCATCCCAGGTACCTACTTGCCAAATAGCATGACTCTGTGACTTCTGGAATTGGAGAAGAAGATTGTTAAAGCTTTTAGCCCATGTTGACCTTTGACTCCCGACTAGCACTTAAAGTTGACCTTGTAAGTAGGTCAAGGTCATCTTAATGAGATAAGATAAGATACATTTTATTTAAAGTCGGTGGGCATTTTAAAACAAAATATAAGCTCTTTACTCTTAAGACGAAACTTTATAGCACTCCATCCCAGGTACCTACTGGCCAGATACCATGACCCTAGGTCCTCCAGTTCTTCAGAAGAAGTCGTTCAAAAGAAAAAGTTGACAGACGGAAGACGGACGCCGCAGTATGGTATAAGCTCACATGACCCTTCGGGCCAGGTGAGCAAAACATAAAGAACGTTCTACTGCAGACCTCGTTTTCCCCTCTTTTCTCCTCATGAACTAATCTACATGTCCATAATATACCCGGAGTTCAAGACATCGAAAAACCTTTTCATCATATTTTTGTAATGTATAAACAAAGTTATAACATCTCCATATACGTGTCTAGATTTCAATAAATATACTGTACTTACTCTTGACACTTCCGTCCTTCTCTCAGTTAGGGACGTTTTCGTTTATAGCGATGCAAACGGTTGAACCGATTGGACCAGGTTTATTCGTTTATGAAATAAGGTCGGCCTTAGCAATCAGATGCTGTTTTCAGGCGATACTGACGGAGCCTTGGAAGTCCTACATAAACTTTTGCAGGTCCGCCAGGATTTATACCAAAATATGTTACATTAAGAAACAGACAAATCGGTTATTTCACATAAACGGACAGGCCCCAGGTCTTTCCAAGTAGTCTACTTTCACTTTCTATTTATTTTTAAGTCAGTACGTGACTGGGAAATGCTCCCATAGCCTATGAAGTATTTCGTGATCATGATTCTTCCTGTGACGTATTTTAGCAAGGCCGTGATAATCTTTATAATTTTTTTTTATAAAAATTGAAATTCCGGAAATGTTGCCAGTGAACGCACAAAGTATTGGTCTGACTAAATGATCTGCTTCAAAACGATTTTTGTGAGTGGCGTCAGACAGCTGTGCTGTCTCTCACTGGGGCCGGGGCTGAGCAGGACTGAGCAGGACCGGGGCTGAGCAGGGCTGAGCAGGACCGTCAAGATAGGATAACTCGTCCGGACTTGGAGCATGATATAACAGTTGGATATACGGTCCTCATCTGGGACATTCTTATCAGGAAATAACGTAGATATTTTTCATTTATACATTTATAAACTAAAGGAAGATAATGTTCAATGTATATGGTCATTTAAATGGTTGTATTAAATAAATAGAACCACGACTTATAAGAAAGGTTATATGCCGTATAGTTTGTAGCGTTATAACGGTCCTGAGCAGTGACATCCTGATCAGGAAATCGAGTACTAATTATATCCGTATTGATGGATCAAATACATGAGGGTGGAAGTGTTTACAGTCAAGAGAGGAATAAAGATGGTTTAGAAGTACAAATTAAACTATATTTATAGTATTTTATCTTTGTATTCCACAACATAGTGTATACGTCCTGTGCAGGGACATCCTGATCAGACAGGATATGTTATAGTGAATCTATCCGTAGTTATTTATAAAATATATAAAGGCAGCAAAGTTTGCAGTCAAGAGAGGTGATTTTGAAATAGAAAAAAAAACATCAAATCAATCTTCAATCTCTTTAATTATATGTTGATATTGGAACGTATCCGGTAACAGGGACATCCATATTCATATATAAAGTACTCATTATATCCGTATAAATGGATCAAATACATAAAGGTGACAGTTATTAGAGTCAAGAGGTGAGTAAATATGATTGAGAAATAGAAATTTAACTATGTCTATAATATTTTATCTTCGAGTTGCATACTAGTATAAGATCCTAAGCAGGAACTTAAATGGAAATCAAAAAGCTAGCAATACGAACGGTCAAGAGAAGCATCATATTGATTTTTAATGAGTCGTTTTAATTTAGAAATAGAACCCCGACTTACAAGAATTGTTATAAGCCGTATAGTCTATAACTATATAAATAGTAGCGTATACGGTCCTGACCGGGGCCATCCTGATCAGGAAACCACGTGCTCATTATATTCGAATTAATTCATCAAATTCATCTTCGTATAACGAACACGGTCCTCGGCGGGGACATCATGATCAGGAAAAAAGTCAACTTTTCCCATATATAGATATAGACATGCATAACCTAAGGATAGATCGCTGTGTATATTGTCATTAGAGAAGTCGTAATAATTGAGAAATAGAACCCCGACTTACAAGAATTGTTATAAGCCGTATAGTCTATAACTATATAGCTAGTAGCGTATACGGTCCTGACCGAGGCCATCCTGATCAGGAAACCACGTGCTCATTATATTCGAATTAATTCATCAAATACAACAGTTGGGAATGCGCATAGATAAGAGATGGCTGAATGTGATTTAGAAACAATAATTAAACTATGTCTAAAGTATTTTATCTTCCATATATAGATATTAGAACGTCTACGGTCCTGAGCGTGGGCATCCTGATCAGGAACTAAAATGGAAATTATTTACGTATGTATTGATCAAGTACAAAAAGCTAGCAATGCGAACGGTCAAGAGAAGCATCATAATGATTTTTAAATGGAAAATACATTACATCAGTGATGGAATACTCTATATCTACATTTTAAAACGTACACAGTCCTGGGCGGGGGCCATCATGATCAGAAAATAAAATCATATATTTTTTGTATAAATAGATACATTTATTAACAAAACGTAGATCGCAGTGAATATTGTCATTAGAGGAGTCGTTTTAATTTAGAAATAGAACCCCGACTTACAAGTATGGTTATTAGCAGTATAATCTGTAACTATAGCTAGTAGCGTATACGGTCCTGACCGGGGCCATCCTGATCAGGAAATCAAATGGAAATAATGTATGTGGTTATTCATCGACTATACAAAGTAAGCAATGCGAATGGCCAAGATTAGCGTCACATGTAAGGATGTCTAAATAGGAAAGTACTTTACTTCTTATGTACAGAATGTAAATCATCAAGTTGTTATGCAATTTATTGTTTTCCTCTTTTGGGTTGAGAATCAGGTAGGACGATATACTCCTCAAGCATCTACATGTATATCATTGTATTCTTACGTATTATTTATTTAATGCGTCCCGTCCGAAGTATGCTGAACTCAGGACTTTATCATTCATACCTTATCGTGAAAAAAATGCTGCACGAAACTGTTAATCTGATATCACCGTGCACATGTACATGATTATGAATATCAGCGTTTGCCTTTTTCATCAGTTCTTGCCCGTGTCTTCACTCTTCATTCAAGATTACTTAGATAGTCTCGCAACCATATCCCTGTCGAATTTCAGGTTTCATTAGGCTAGACGTAACCGTGATTTAGAACTTCCGATGATTTTGAACATATTGTATAGTCAGATATGACAGCTCACGTGAAAGACAAAGACATGTTTATAATGCTTGAAAATATGTATTTGTTTTTGTATTGCCGACATGTCAACTACGTTTTTGGTGTTTTACCAAACAAAAACAAAAAAACGGAAACAACTCTTTTGTTTGTGTATGATATTGTTAAGATATTCAATGATTGTTTTAATGATTGCAAATGTATAAACAAACGTATGCATTTGGTATATATTTGCGGTAAGTTGTGAATTGTAAGAACACGAAATATAGACATGCACATGTATGTTGTACAAATGAAGTACATAAATTCATCTCATCTCCTGTTATAGACTGGTCGTATAAATGGTTTGATAATCTGTCATTGAAGCGATCGATAATGCATGTACGACGTCCATTTAAATATTTTATATTTTATAAAACCCAGAATGTAATCAATTACATCAAATTACATTGTACCTGAATGTTTTTCTCTGTTGTTTGTGTAGTTTAAGATACGTCTGTAAGGGGTGATTGTTATCAAATAAATGATTGTTAAGAGCTTGAGTATTCTGATGTACCGTCGCAACCATCTTTTGATTGGAATGTTTAAATGCAACTTGCATGCGAACTGGTTGCTTTTTGGCAAGTTGGAGAAGTTGGAACCTGCGGTAGAGTTTAAATATCAATATATATATATGGTAAACGCGCCGGGAGGTGTTACATATGTGTAGCAGTTGGGGTGTTTCTTATGCTTATTGTATTATTATTTTTATATATTCCAATGAAGATCAGTATTTGCTGTTGGGTTCATCGGTGGCATGCATCGGATGTGATCTGGTTACCTCATCAAAGGTTTTGGGGAAGGGGCAGTGGCGTCCGTTGTGAGTCCGTCAACAAGTTCTGGAAACCGGAATAACAGCAAGAGCTGGACACATGCGAAAATGATGGGGAGTCAAAATGTACAAATTAAGGAGCTAATAATAGCCCATCCCTACTTTCCCCCCACCCCACCACAACAACTATATAATGAAAGATGAGTGGAAAATATGTGAATAGAGACTGCAATTTCTGATTATTTCAATATTATAAAAACGGAAATAGAAATTATCTGAATTATGAGCAGCTAATTTCCAAATAACATTTTAGCGCCGGACCCAGTTAAAGAAAAAGCATGCGTCCAAATGATCACACTTATCTAGTTCTACTGACATAATGTTCAGCACACCGTATATTTGTTTGAGACAGGTAAATATGAAAATAAGGGGGTTCTTTTGTAATTGTTGAGACAATATTGAAGATGAGTATGACTTTAATTTAGTATGATTTATGAAGAAAATTATTGTGAAATTCCTTTTAAAAAAATACTGGTAAAAAGGCTGTATTAAAACTAGTACAGCTCTCACGCATTTTATGTGCTGTTTCTTGGATACAAATAATAATGACCAATAGTTGTATTAAATATTAAAAAAAATCCTTACGGATTAACATAGACGTGTGCCAAGCTCAAAGGCTTGATCTTGGACTGACAAACAACATGGTTACAGTGTAATTTCGTTATCGTCAGCAGCCAAACTCAGTTTGTGTGAGAAGAGGTCCTGCTCTGTACAGTTAGGTGCAACATGATATGTCTCATGATAATTGTGAATTGACTGTGTGTGTTTACATTTACAAGCTGTGGAAAACAAAAACAATTAACAGACACTATCGTTCAGAATTATCGTTTTGGTTTTAATGATCTAAACATTTAAAAATAAATAAAAATATTATTCAATTAACTCCATTCTATTCACAGTTATTCCCACTTATGTCCCATGTATGGCTGTCCTTTAGGATTCGGGTACAAATTGTTTTTCAAATTGGATTATCATCCTACATTTCAAATACGGAAACACTGTTGGATGAATTTTTGTGATTTCAACTTTGGCTTTGATGTTGATTCACTTGATACATGTAATTATGTAACAGTGACTTGTATTTCGAGTTTGGAGTTTATGTATTATTCATTGCTTCTGGTAGTGGATTGATTTGTTTTTGTCTCAACAGCAATAATATATGCTATTAGAAAATAATGATATAAATACCAGTTATTATTTTACTAAAAGACTAACATAAATATTGTATGGAAATAAAATAAGACATTATTATCATATTCATATCATGCTGCATAAAAACATATGTATGTATGCTTTTTAATCATACTTTCTAAAAAAAGACATATATATACAATACATAATGTATGGAAAGTCAATTATGGAATACATTATATAAGGTGTTCTATAATATATACCGCTATTAATTTTATTTATGTCTTTATTCATACAATAATGTTGTTAT